CACTGTTTTCAATCGCATCCAAACCTATCACTCATTCAAAGGTTAGTCGCGAACAACAAATGCTTTGTCAATGCATTTGATGTCAACTTCTTGTATGTGTTTATTGTCCTCACAATCGCTAACCAAACAAAGAGTCATTCAATCGATGCCTTTGTTTCCACTATTAATACATATTTTGAACACTTATTATAACACAGTTTTCGCTAACATATAATTACTCTCAGATATACTCTCTTATAATTGGTTTGGTTTTAATGTTTTTGTTGTGATATCTGTTGACAGCCATCGATAGGGAAGACCCGCTGAGAAGAGTTGAGAGACATTGAGTGGCGAAACAATCAGTGGCTATGCCTTCGGCGCCGACTCTCGGCCATCAGACGAATGGTCACCACAACCACAATCAGAGCAATGGCCAGAACTCGTCGCCCAATCATATGATGTCTAACGACGACTGCGGTATTCGCGACGTCTGGGCCTCTAATCTGTTGAACGAGTTTAAAGAGATCCGCAAAATCGTGCAGAAGTACCCCTTCGTGGCGATGGACACAGAGTTCCCGGGAGTAGTGGCCCGACCTATAGGCGAGTTCAGGAGTACATCCGACTATCAGTACCAACTGTTGCGATGCAATGTCGACCTCTTGAAGATCATTCAATTGGGTCTCACGTTTCTGGACTCGAAGGGCGACACGCCGTCGGGTCCGTACACGACCTGGCAGTTCAACTTCAAGTTCAACCTCTCGGAAGACATGTTCGCTCAGGACTCCATCGATTTGCTCACAAACTCTGGCATTCAGTTCAAGAAACACGAAGACGAAGGCATCGATCCCTACGACTTCGCCGAACTGCTCATGAGCTCTGGCATCGTATTGGCCGATAACGTCCGGTGGCTGTCCTTTCATAGCGGCTATGACTTCGGCTATCTATTGAAGATTCTGACGGATCAGAACCTCCCCTCACAAGAGTCACAGTTCTTCGAATTATTGAGGATTTATTTCCCTATCATTTATGACGTGAAATATTTGATGAAAAGCTGCAAAAACCTGAAGGGAGGCCTTCAGGAGGTAATCAATGACACATCGCTTTGCCTTTTATTAGTTATTAACGTATGTATTGTTCAGGTGGCGGATCAGCTAGAGTTGGAGCGAAAGGGACCGCAACACCAGGCGGGCAGTGATAGCCTATTAACGGGCGCCGCCTTCTTCAAGATGCGTGAGATGTTCTTCGAGGACAATATCGATGACGCGAAATATTGCGGCCATTTGTATGGATTGGGCACTGCTTTTGTGGTGAACGGCAATTACGATGAGAACAATAGCTCTTCAAACGCGATGACACCGACCAACACGACCACAACCAACACACCGGCGCCCATATCTACCCCTTCATGATTGAGTCCGACAGCGGTATCCGACTGTCAAACACTTGAATGTATTTGCCATCGATTTATAATTTTAATGAGCCTTTTATTCAATATATCTATTGATTTACTACTGATTTTATCATATTTTCGCTTTTATTTCAAAATCAATTGTTTCATTGATTCTCACAAAAAATCGTTTCAATTATTAAATAAATTAAAATCATTTTTATTTAAACTGTTTTTTATTAGTTTTATCTTTTTGTGTTAACAATCAATTAGTTTTGTCGCTATATTTATATAATATTGAATTTACAGTAAAATAACTCGTTTTGAGTGATGACTGCTTCTTATCAAATGATATGATATTTATGTTACAAATGAATCGCAAAAACGATATTAATTATGAATTGAAACCAAAAATAGAGATTTAATACATTGACTGTTGGAGTGAATGTATTGTCAATAAGACATAGTTAATAGAGTATAGTGTGGACGGCATTCAGTTTCAGTTAGTGTTTCATTTGTGATGAATAATCATATTTAGTCACAAAAAACAGATGTTGTCTTCATTTGTCTCAATTAAGTGCATCGAAACGATTGGTAATTCAGTCGACTTCGACAATGAGAGCCTCTCCGGAGTCGAGTCTCAATGATCTCATGTATAGAAATTCTTTCTCTCTTTTCTTATAACTCGATATTTTAATGCGAGACAAATGAAACTTATCTGAAAAGTCCTTAACTCGAGGTTTTGGGCCAAAGTTGGCGAATAATACATAACGGTATCTAATGTCTGGTGGATCTCCTCTATCGAAGTATCTCTCGAAGACAATCTGGTTGTCATCGATGTAATGAAACAAATAGTTGCCGTGTTTTCCCATGTCTTGCATCTCGAAGTTATCGGCTCTGAATGCCATCAATTCATTGAACCGTTTTATTGACTCGTTTTGCTTCAAAACATTGATTTGTATGTAATTCGGATGAATCGGAAGCCAAGGCTTCGTTGTATTGGATTGACTAAAATTTGCATTCAAATTAGACATCCATTGCATGGGACAGAGCTGTCCGCCCCTATATTCCTGTCCAAACATAAGCACAACAACAGACATACCATTAAAATATCATGAATTAAACGCCAACAATATATTCAAATCAATTATTCAACACTTGTTCCTCAAATTTCTAGTCATTTCAACAATTACTGCTCCCAAACATCACATTAATTACACACAAACTTTATTTTTGCCTCTCATTTGAATCCTTTATTTGCTGTTTTTATTCCCATTAATTAAATTGAAACAAAAGTTTGTTTAACTAAAACAACACAAATTCTGATTTATATATTTGTGTCAATAACTAAATTCACGTCAAACTGAATAATTTTTCTAAACCAACAAAAATTTTATTTGTAATACATGTTTGTTTTGTCATTGAATTAATATTATGCGAGCAAAAAATATATGTTTCCAACTCTTCGGGGCATTAATAACACCAAAAAGCATTGGAGTTGTCTGTCGAGTGCTCTTCAACTAACTTTTTAGGTAATTATTTAATTTAATGTAAAAAAACAATAAAAAACCCAAAGTATGTGTACATAAAACGCACAGAATATTCTTTATGCTTGCGATGAGTGGAGTTTGTATTTTATGTGTTGACACGAATTTGTGAATAATTAAATTAAAAGCCGTTTTAGTGTAGAGTTAGAAATGGATTTGATTTGTCAGATGTAATAGAAGTGATTTGTCGATCAATATATTTATTTATATATAGAGAAAGAAACACTTTGTAGTCGTTTGTGTTAGATTTGAGACCAAACTGACTGACCTGACAGACAGACACTAACCATTGGTATCCATTGAGACCCCACTTTAAAGACATCGATAGCTGTCTTATGTTTTACCTCTTTCTTGCTTTCAATTGAAAGATTTTTTACAATTCCATTAAATGTAAAGAAAATCATTGAAATACTGTTTGAATGCATTGTTTGAATCGAAATGATAAGCAAACAAAATGTATGAGTTATGAAAAGTGCATTATATCTCATAAACTAAATCTCGATGTTCTGTACACTAAATAAATCATTGGATGAGATTATGTCCGACGCCTTCCAGTTATATATCATATTATCTTCACTTAACTAACAGTTTCTAAAAGATTTGTATTATTTTGTCACAAATTTTAAGACTTTTAGTCAATTTGACACAAAATAACTTTACTGTCAAAAGATATGTCTCTTAAACAATGACAATGACATTGATATTGATTTTTAACTTACTATCATTTTGACCAAAAATCACACTTTGAAATGTTTTAATTTTTTCAAATATAGTCATATATTTTGCAGAATAAAACTCAATCTAATTAAAAAACGAGATTCACTTTTGAATTATATTTTTGTTGTATAAAAAATAATATAATAAATGGGATAAAAGGGGATTCTATTGATTAGTTTTGTGAACAAAATATTTGTGAAATGCTATACAAAGAATAATTGAAAGAATTGAATAGATTTGAGACCATTTGAGACGATTGTCTAAGAAGTGAACACTAATCAAGTGAATCGCGACATTTCATTGATTTTTAAGTTCAGATTTCATTTGTATCACAAAGAATTTCATTTTATTATGTATCAAAAGAGTCTCTCTCTCTCTCTCTCTCTCTCTCTCTCTCTTCTTTCTCCTCTATTTCTCTCAAATTAATATACGATCCGTTATGTGATCGTTAAAAAATGGGAACTGATTGGTGGCGATCGACCAGACGTTGTATTGAATAATATGGGATAAATTGTAATGATTGCAAATAAGGTTCACTTCTCATCATTACAACACAATCCCGTGTTTTTTGCGAGAGAAAGAGTCGACTAATTAGGACTTTACGATACAATCAGTGCTTTACGTGCTCTAAACGCATCCCATTTTCTCTCATATTTTGCCGGTTTATGACATTTAGTCGAAGAAAAGCTCATATAATTATCAGACAATCTTTGTTTTCGATTAACAGACATATCTCTTATCAAACTTACAATTAATTAAAAAAGTGAAAAATAATATTTTGAAACCATTATAACCATTATTATTATATTGTATGTGAACTGAGATGTATTACACACGAAAAAAGTCAGAAACAAAATAATACGCTATAGTGTGGAGAGAATGTGTGAAATTATATACTTATTTGATAACAAAAACAAGACATGAATTTCTTAAAGCATTACAATTGTCATCGCTATAGAAGTAATGCCTTTTTAAATAAGACTCCAGTCGTGCGATTAGTTATATAATAATAAAGACTATTATTATGTGTCTTCTAATACTTAAGATAACTTGTAATAAAAGGAAAGACAAACCCTCTCTCCCTCTCACATACTAATAGTCGACTTCAAAAACGAGTTTTTATTCAATAAAGTCTTCATATATTGCAATCACTTTTCACTCAAACTCTTACTTAAGACTTACCAATAATTATATGAGTTATCAGTTTGTATTCAATTGGCGACAAAGTATTTGTAATGCCATACTATCTTCAAACCAATTCAACCATTCATTATAAGATAGAAATTAACAGAATATCATTTGTATCTCGACTTTCATTTTCTCCAAACTAATGACATTCTTTACGTTTAAATCAATATTAACAAAAACATTACACCTTTTTATTGATTTCATCTCCCATTCCACTCTTATACACGCTTTTTCACTAACATTCAAATAAAACTATAGATTTTTTTGTGCAAAAGTTGTTGGAAATCATTTAAAAATCATATTTAATGCAGTTTTATAAATACAATTTTAGCTCAATATAAATACTAGTGGAGAATATATTATAAAAGCTCTGATACTGTATAATATGTTTCATTCATATATTTGCAGTCCTGTTCCTGTCGTTCCTGCCTTTAAATGGTCTCATTTCAGGAAATGAATTCAAAATTATGTTTTCCTGTGAGGACTAAATATTTTTAGATTAGATATTGTTTACTCAAAAAATGTTAAGTGAAATAAAGGTATCCTTAATGTGTTATTTATTGCTTTAGTCATTAAATTTTAAATTCTAATGAATACTATTTTCTCGACTTCCACTCCTAAACGGACTTTTCATTTTTGAACACAACATTTCGCTAATAATACCTATCATTCAACATATGTTTTAGGACTTTATTTTATTGATAATATTTATTATTAATAGAATAAACACGGCTTAAAGTCACTCTACTTTCGTATTCAAAAATGAAACTTAACTTATGTTTGTCTGTTTGAGAGGCGACTCATTAAATAGAAATAATTCATAATCGTTATAACTTTTGTCAAAATAAGTTTATAATTTATAATATTGTTTTGAATAATATTCATAAATAATTATTGCGGTAAACAATATCATATTTATCAAATCAACTAAAAAATCATTTTTATTCTTAATAAATTAATGATAAAATATAGTATTATTTCCACTAAACTATTATAATTCTTGTGATTATAATTAATTTAAATAATGACAAAACTCATGAAACCTAATAGAAATGTTGTGATTTTAAATCCTATTTTAAGATAAAATCGGTGCTATTCTATCATATACTGAATAATTACATAAAAAGTACATTAAATTCTGTAATTAGTTTTTGTCTTTTGCGATATTTTAGAGCAAATTATAAAGTTTTTTAATATAATAAAAAAGTCTGTTAAACATTAATGATATCATTTGGTTGAGTATACGAAATGAGATGCAATTTAATCTATTTATGCGATGAATTGATGATGTATTGAGTGATGAGAGAAAATGTGAAATAGAGATGGTTTGGCAAATGTAAAGCACAAGAAATAAATATTTCATTTTAATTTCTCGAAAGCTTTGTTTGGCCGCAGGCTTTGAATTTAGAGTTTAAAACTAAAGAGTAGTAGGAATTGTAAGTACGCCTAATGAATGGCTCATTCCTACCTATTTTACATTAGGACCGCATTATAAGTATGATATTATAATAGTATTTGGAAATTGGTTTTTTTGGAGGAGAAAGAGCTCAGTTTAGAATTGGTAATGCATTAGAGAGAACTTCATTAATGGTTGTTTAGTGAATATATAAAGTATACACACAGTCAGTATGTGTACAATACTGGAATATATGCTAACTTATGGCATAATGTTATATATATTCTGTAGATTAATGTGGAGATGAGGCAAACAATTAATTTTGTGAGGCATAGAGGCATAGGTCCTAAACAGAGGTTTGGCGCCATAAAACAACTCACGACTCAATTAATATGCATAAGAGTGGCAAAAGTGGCAGAAATGCGAGCTCTAAGAGCTAACAGTATATCAAATGAATGAATGTACGAATGTTTGCAAATACTGTATAAATAGTAATTGAATGCAAAAGATGTAAACGTTTTTTTACAAAACAGACATTCTATTAATGTTATAGAAAATGGCATAACATTCATATGAATGTATGTTTAATATGGCTTTAATGACGGATACGAGAGAAGAGAGGAGAGCACCGACAGACCCGACATACATGTGAATATTGTCAATCCTCGCCCATATAATGAACGATGAATGCCATAAATTATATATGAAAAAAACGTTAGTCTCTGTCGTACGTCACGGACACTAATTATACACCAGAATCCAAGTCTAAAGCTAATACATAAGCTATACTATACTGTATTGAACATAATCTTACATAAATGGCACACAAAACTGCACACAACATCCCATCTCATGCCAGACCACCGAAAGCGTGAACACAAGCATTACTATAGCAGTGATGCGAACAACAAATTCTCTTTAAAAAGAGGACAAACTATAGCTAAGTATTTGTATTAGTAATGCGGTAGGCATTGGCACCGGCGCTGGCAATGGCACCGGCATTCATAGCGCAACATCACAGCCAAACAGTGTGTGTGTTTAGGCATGGATTGCACCGCAACTGAGGACCTCATAGAGGATGGAGCGCTCAGAACAAGAGATCCTTTGCTGTCAACGCACTGATGCGGAAAAGCATAGTTTCAAAGTTGACTCAAATATAGTAAACATGAAAACATTTTGCATACATTCGCACAAACGACTCATACAAATGTCATTAAGAGGAGACATATGAGTGCAAAAGGACAGCAGCAAAGGCCAGACAGCAATACTAAACACCATTCTGTGAGCACATCTCCACTACATTCGCTTAATTGCACTTTTAATTCAATTATATCTGATCTCACACAGAGGCCAGTCATTCATTGTGTTGGCATTGTATGTATTTATGTGTATGTATTGTATGTATGCCTTTCATGACATACCTTCTCCTTTGTCTGCTGACGATCTGTCGGGTGTTTTGCGGAGAAGAGGCATATCGTCATCGATATCGACCCTTTCCTCGTCGTCATCCGAATAGTCCAAAGCCGACGCCTTATCGCTATCTTTCAGTTTATCTATCATTCCTGACGTCATATTCTTCAAGTCGTTATCGCTTTCATAAGCGAGAGATCGACTGTTATTCATCCCAATCACTATTTGTCTGTTATTTAGCAAAACATTTCAACAAAAATTCATTAATATCACGAAAGACAACATTAATTAATATATTGATATACTTTTTCTCTCTTTTTCCGGCTCCTGTTTCCCGAAAGCCCTTTGCGAATGGATTGTTATCTATCTTTAATCTCGTTATCTATAAGTAAAAAGATTGCATCAAAATATTAGCTATTGTTCTGAGTGTTTGCGAGAGAAAAAAATTAATAGATTAGGGGGTAATAATCGGCGGTTTTTCATAGATAGCGGTAATAATAATAATTGATGCTTAAATATGGGGCGTTTACCACACCTTTTCATTTTGATATGCTGTCACCGCAATAAACTCGGTCTCTTTGAAGACATAGGTCCGGAACGTACTGTATGGCAGTTTGAGGAGGTCGTTGGCTCTGACTAGATGAAAGCGGGGCTGATATTTGTGCATTGAATTCAATATTGTCTAAAATCGTGGTGAAAAAATTGAGAGAAAAAAACATGAATCGTAACAATGCGCTCAATTGGGGTATATTTTGGCACGTAATTGAAATTGGTAATAATTTGTGTAAATACAGGTGGGGTACTCACAAATCCATGTTTATCAGCGATATTGTTTGTGAGTTTGAGTTTGTGAAATGAGACCACTTTTTGCATCCACTGTTCGCCGGTTGACGGAGAGTCGGGATGAATGTACATGCGTTTAGGCATCTCTGGGTCAGCCTTACCGGCCATAACCCACCGGGAATTGTGGAACTTATAGCGACAGTCGTCGGCGGCCACGATATCCATAAGCATTATGTATTTGGCCTTTTTGTCCAAACCAGACACACGTATGCGAAACGATGGGAACATTCTGTGTATTGCAATTGCAATTGTGGGCGAAACAAACAAATTTGAATATTTAATAATGCAATTACAGGCAAAACGTGTTTTACATAATAAGCCAACTTTTTTAAGAGTCAACGCTAAACTCTCTATATATTGTCTCCCATTTCCAACTCATTCCCTACACTACAGACCCGACACTGTTTAACCCTTTTCTCACTTTAATATAATTAAATAAGTGATAAAAACAGACGTACAAGTCGTTTAAATAATTAATTTTTAAATGATTTAAATGCAAATCTCTGTTGATATCATAGACACTCTCTGCTGTAGGTTCTGGTCATTAAACCGTTTCTTTATTTTATTTTTCAATTTATTTCTGAAAAATATCACAATTTTTCCACTGACTCTGTGTTTTATTTTTTAATTCATTTTTTATTTAAATCATTGAAAATAATATTCTAAACATTGAATATTCATTTTCTTTTGTTATAATAGCTTTAAATGTTTAAAAACAGTATTAATATATGAGATGAAAACATTACTGTAGAGTGAAATCGATTTTCACATGTACTGTAATATTATTACTTAATGTACGTTTGCATCGATTTAGCATTGCTTTCAATATTGATGAATATTATTCAAAAAAGAAAATAATCATTTAATTGTTAATAATTAAGAAGAAAAATAAATATAATTACAAACAAATACTCAAAGCGTTTCATAGATTTATTAATTCGTGTAATTATTTTGCAAAAAGGGGTGAATTAGAGGAATAAATCGGAAAACGAAGAGAACGAGAGAGAGAATATATGAGAAAATATGAATTGATAAGCAAAGAGAGTGAATGCAATGATAAGTGGATGGTATGGTATGATATGGTTATGGTATGGAAACTGGTGTTGCA